CTGGTGGCGTCGTGGGTTATGAATTGAGCTGCTAGCAGTTTGGCAGTTCAAACTCAGCAGCCACTCTGAGGGAGAAACACTTACAGCCTCAGAAACCCACAGGAGCAGTTCTACCCTGTTCATAGGGCCCTGTAGCTATGACTCAGAATCAACTGATGGCAGTGAGTGAGTCCGTCCATCTGTCCCTGGTCACTATGTGCCCCTTCTGTGAGGCCCTCCTGCTCCCCCTCTACTGCTTCTCAATTAACGTGCGCACACCCCTCATTCTTGTCATCAGGACCCTGATTCCATCTCTGCTCCTCTGGCGGTCTGGGTGTGTCTTGGTGGGTGAGGAATGCACCGAGAATGACTGTTGGGGTGATTGGGCCTCCTTTCTGGGAAGGGAATGCTCCACCCCCCCACCCCAGCCCCTCGTTTCTCTGCTCTGTGCACAGTCCGAGTCTGCTGTGCCTGCTGCACATGAAATTGGGAAAGCCATGCCCACCACTGTCATGGCACCTCGAACTCCTGGTGAGGCTGTAGGCGATGGACGGAATAGAGCTGCACCTGCGAGCTTTATGAACACTGGTCACCAGATCTTTCTTTTCCTGGTTTTGCCGGGTGGGTTCGAACCACCAACCTTCAAGTTCACAGATGAGCTTAAACCATTTTTGCCTCCCCCCTGTCCTCCAACCTTGAGTCATACTAAGTGCTCAATACATAGGGAAGATGAGGGGAGGTCAACTGCTCTCTTGCTGTCACCCCACTCCTGCAGGAACTGGAGGATTTGCAGGGGTCACTGCCATGCTACCTGAGGAACTTGGTCAGCGAACCTGACAACATCCTGGTGTGGCACATGCTGCTACTGCCGGTGAGTGTCCAGGGAGCCTGGGTCAGGGTGGGGTGGGATCCTCCCCTACCTCAGCTTCCCCCAGGAGCCCTGGAGTGGTATATCGGGTTAAGCACTCAGTTGCAAGGTCAGCAATTTGAAACCACCAGCCACTCCTCGGGAGAAATATGAAGCTTTCTACTTCCATAAAGAATTCCAGTCTCAGAAATCTACAGGGGCAGTTCTAGCCTGTCCTATAGGGTCACTGTGAGGGCATTGATGCTATGGCAGTGAGTTTGGTTTGAAATTGAGGTTCCTCTCACTGGGGGCTCCCACCGCCAAGGGTCACCCACTACACTGAGTGTAGACAAGCCACATCAGGAAAAGGCACTTAGTGATAGCCCTTTGTCAGGGAACCGTGGGGTGGTGCAAACGGCTAAGCGCTCAACTACTCACTGAAAGATTGTTTGTTCAACGTCTCTTGGAAGAAAGGCCTGGCAACCCGCTCCCGAAAGGACAAAGCCACAAAAGCCCTCTGGCTCGCAGCTCTCCGGTGACAGTGACACCCACACACAGGGGTCACTGTGAATCAGAACAGACCTAATGGCAACTGGCAGGGGTGGGGAGAGGGGGGAAAGCCCCTTGCCAAGAGACAGGGGCAATCTTTCCCAGTGCCCACCGTTGGTAGGATTTGCTCCACTAAACCTAGAAGGTTCTTCTCTCAAAGACTAATTTCAGAAAAGTATTGCTCCTGGTGGCAACCCCCATAACTTATCTCCTCTGTGCTGACTTCCCTCTGCGTACCGTACGCTCTCACCTTGATAAGCTCTCCTTAGAAAGGCAGAGGCCTGTGGGCTTGAACTACGGGATGAGAGCAGGTCTGGATTAGGTCCTAATAAAGTGGTTTAGGACAGAAAAAGAAGAAGAAGGCAGAGTCCAAAGGCCTTATCAAGGGCAGACGCCTTCCTCGGCCCTTTGAGGAGCACTGGCCACTTCCTCACTTACGGGAACCGAAAAACGAAAGTGTGCGTGCGTTTTTGTCAGTCAAAGCTTTCTGGAATGGAGAGGGAACTATTCACCGTATTATTTATCATTTGGATGTCTTCGTGACCAGATAGAGTGGGGGCAGGGGTCCTGGTGGGTCAGCGGGTTAAGCGTTGGACTGTTAACCCCAAGCTTGGTGGCTCACAGTCTTGGAGAAAGATGTGGCTGGCTGTTCCCATAAAGACTGACAGTCTCAGCAGCCCCCCAGGGAAGGTCACTGAGTCTGAATCGACTCGGTGACAGTGGGTTTTTTTTAAAAAAAAATTTACTTAGAGTTGTAGCATCTCTTCTCTTTCAGAAAAATAGAAACGTTGTTTGAGTTAGGTCAGCATGTGATGCTTCTGGCAAGTCCCTGGGGTTGGGGGGTTGAAGCCTTTCACTTACCTGGCTTGTAGTGAGAACCACGTGTCAGGTGCCCGGGGAAGAAGTTG